AATACTTTATAAGTATCAGATGTTTGTAAATACACACGTTTCTTTCATAGTAACTGTGTAAGTGCCATGGATTTACTTTTGCACATAAAATTCTGAAAGAAATCCTGGGACTATTTAATGTCAAGTCACAGAAATATACAGAATATAAGGAATATTGCACCAGTCACTGGCCCTAAGAAACAACAGCATAAAAGTGCACAAAAATGTAAAAAATATTTGTATCCAACTCTCATTGGTTTTAACTTCATGCTTTCACATGCTGTGGGGTGTTGGGTGTTTATATTAAATATAAATTCCCATGTTTCTCATGGAAAAACATTATAATTGGCTAGCTTAAATTATTTCAGATCCAGCAAAACAAGACAGCATATTTCCTTTCAAAAGCTATTTTGACTCTATAGTACATTTATGAAGTTCTCTGTACTTTCAAACTTCAGTTGTTTTGCTTGGAGGTATGTGAATAATAATCTGTAAATCTTAAAAACAAATACACTGAAGTTTGGGATAAAATTACATAATTATATTACATGAATGTATTCTATTCTGTCACAAATAAATGTAAAAAGAACAATTTCCCTATTATTGAAACTTGTTTAAAAAAATAATAGCCTTGCCCTAGCCTGTCTGGCTCAGTGGTTAGAGAGTTGGCCCTCGGACTGAAGGGTGTTGGGTTCAATTCTAGTCAAGGGCACATACCTCAGTTGCAGGCTTGATCCCAGCCCAGTCTGGGTGTGTGTTGGAGGCAACCAATGGATATGTCTCTCTTACATCAGTGTTTCTTTCTCTCTCTCCCTTCCGCCCTCCTTCCCTCTCCCTTCCTCTCTCTCTCACTCTCTCTCTCTCTCTGTAAAGCAATGGGAAAAATATCCTCGGGTAAGGATTAAAAAAAATAATAGCCTTATGATTTTTAAATAATAAAATTTGTCTTCGGATATTAATTTATAAACACTCTTTTTGCTGTCTTTATGTTATCCTGACATAAGGACAGAACAAAAAGAGTGTTCATAAGCGGAACTGGGGATTTCTACACAAAAGCTGGAAAAAGATAAATGAAGAGAAATATTGCCCCTTTTTATGAGCATATAATTTTATTTTATTTATTTGATGGAATAAAAGCATTTAGTAATAACAAACTTTACAGGACTTAACTAATTTCAAGTTTTTATTTAAAAGCGAGTATAACTCAAAAAAAAAAAGGTGTTTCTCAAAACTTTAACTTGATTTTTTATAAGTTATTACATTTATGAAAAAGTAATTCTTCAGACTTGAAGTTGTTTTCTGAATTCCAGGAAGTAAAAAGAGACACCTGAGCCACTTGATTAACCTTTATAAATCTTTCTTCCATAAGTTAGATCAACTAAATAAATTTATACCTCAAAAGACCTAAGGTTCAGGTAGAAATCTCAAGTATTCTATTTTAAGTTGTTTCTAAAACTTGCAAAATGAGCTGATAAAAATTCTTAAAACTACAGAACTTTTGTCATCATGAGTAGAAAGCACACAAGAGCCCAGTTGGTCAGAGCATCACCCAGATATGTCAAGGGTGCAGGTTCGATCTCCAGTCAGGACACATACAAGAATCAACCGATGAATGCATAAATAAGTGGAACGACAAATCAATATTTCTCTCTCCCTTCCTCTCTTTCTCTCTCTCTAAAGTCAATAAATAAAAATTTTTTAAAAACACATTTAAAAAGCAACAAAATATGTAAAATCATTATGACTTTTTTAAAAGGGTAAACTGGATGGGAGATCTAAGATGGTGGCAGACTGAGTGGAAGCTACACAGACACTCTTCCAGGACCAAACTGGAATTACTACTGAAATATAGAAAAACCACCCTGAATAATCAACTGCAACTGAAAATGAGCTAGAGAGCACCCTCATAACCAAGGAGGAAAAGTGGAGACCACATACAGGCTGGTAGGAAGTAGGGAGGAGTGAGAGGGCTGGCTGGGCTCCCATAGGCAACAGCTGAAAGTCCAGAGGGAGATCTCAGACGTTGGGAATTTCCACTGAGAACTCTGGGGTCCAAATCCCAGCTTGGCTCCCCAGCCTAGAGCACCAGAACTGAGAAAGGTACCCACATAACATCTGGCTGTAAAAAGCAGGCGGATTTCTTTCTGCCAGGCAGAGATGGCTGGAAATGCAGGCACCCTCTTAAAGTTTCCTGTGCAGCTACTCAACTTGGGCTCCAGCAAAAGGAAGGCAGAGTGGACTGGAGCTGTGTGAGGAGAATCCAGGGAGGCTGGCTCGGGGAATAGATCTCAGGGGGCAAGGCACCCATCTGGACCCGGGGGCTGAGTTGTTCCCCCATATGACAGAGGACATCTTTCTCAGGCAGACATTTACCTTCCAAGCAGCTTTTGCCTGAAGGGAAAGCAATTGCCCCACCCTGCTGGAAAACCTCTGGCTCCACCCCCTGCAGTTTCTATAGCCTGAGGCTCCTCAAGCAACTGATAACAATCAGCTGCCCCACCCTGTGGAGTTTCTACAGCCTGAGGCTCATGAATNTCTGGCCCCACCCCCTGCAGTTTCTATAGCCTGAGGCTCCTCAAGCAACTGATAACAATCAGCTGCCCCACCCTGTGGAGTTTCTACAGCCTGAGGCTCATGAATTGACTGAATAACAGCCTCTGGGTGCGTTGAGTCTTTGCCTGATTTGCTTCTGGACCCAGGGCTTGGAAAAGCAGACTTTGGTGCACACCTTGGTCCTGTCCAAACACACCCAGCCCCAGCAGAGGGGAGCACAAGCTGTAGAGTGTGGAAAATTTCAAACGGAGTACTCAAGGCCAGTCACAAACAGTGTCTGACATTGGCCTGTACCAGAGACCATCCAAAAGACTGGGAGTCTTCACAGATCTATCTGATACATAGAAACAAATCCAAACAGGCAGCCAAAATGGGGAGATGACAAAACAAGCCAGAAATGAAGGAACAAAAGAATTCTCCAGAAGAAGAGCTAAATGAAATGGAGATAAGCAATCTATCAGATATAGAGTTCAGAATACTGATCATAAGGATGCTCAACAGCATGAAAAAAGAAATGGAAACTATGAAGGAAATTAAGAATGACATAGTAGAAATAAAATTTAAAAACACATTGGAAGGAATGAACAGCAGATTAGGGGAAGCTCAGGATCACGTCAGCAAATTAGAAGACAGGGTAGCAAAAATCAATCAGAGAACCAAAAAGAAAAAACAATTAAAAAACAGGAGGACTGCTTAAGGGAGCTGTGGGACAAAAAGAAACATAGCAATATGTGCACCAGAGGAGTTCCAGAAGAGGTCAAAAGTAAGCAAGGGTTAGAGAACCTGTTTGAAGAAATAATGGCAGAAAACTTCCCTAACCTGGTCAAGGAAAAAGTCACACAAGTTCAGGAGGCACAGAGAGTCCCAAGCAAGAAGAACTCAAAGAGGGCCAGGCCCAGACACATCATAATTAAAACGGAAAAATCCAAGACAAAAAGAGAATCTTAAAGGCAGCAAGAGAAAAGCAATCTCTTACCTACAAAGGAACTCCCATAAGGCTGTCAGCTGATTTCTCACCAGACACTCTACAGGGCAGAAGAGAATGGCATGAAGTATTCAAGGTAATGCAAAACAAGGATCTGAAACCAAGAATATTCTATCCAGCAAGGCTATCATACAAAATAGATGGTGAAATAAAGAACTTCATATGCCAAAAAAAAAGGCTGAAGGACTTTATCACCACCAAATCAGCATTGTAAGAAATATTAAAGGGACTGCTGTAATAAGAAGTTGAAATAGAGAGAATGAGAAGCATAGGCATAAAGAAACAAAATGGCAATAGGTAAGTACCTATCAATAATAACCTTAAATATAAATGGATTAAATGTCCCAATCAAAAGACATAGGGTAGCTGAATGGATAAGAAAACAAGACCCAAATATATGCCGCCTACAAGAGACCCACCTCAGAACAAAAAACTCACACAGGCTGGAAAAAACAAAACTTCTGGAGGACTTTAAAGGAGAGATGGACAGCAACACAGTCATACTGGGGGACTTTAATACCTATTGACTTTACTGGGTAGATCGTCCAGACAAAAAATCAACAAGAAAACAGTGACTCTAAATGACACACTAGATCAGATGGATTTAACTGACATTTACAGAACATTCCACTCCAAAGCTGCAGAATAGACATTCTCCTCACATGCACATGGGACATGCTCAAATATAGACTACAAGTCAGGACGCAAAACAAGTCTACGTTCAAGAAGACTGAAATCATATCAAGCATCTTCTCAGACATTTATTCAATGGAATACTATGCAGCTGTGAAAAGGGTCCCTTACCCTTTGAGACTGCATGGTGGGATCTGGAGACTATTGTGCTAAGTGAAATAAGCCAGTCAGGGAAAGACAAGTGTGACATGATCTTACTCATTTGCGGAATTTAATTAACAAAATAAACCGATGAACAAAATAGATCCAGAGATACAGAAGCATGGAACAGACTGATGACTCTCAGAGGGAAAGCGGGGGTGGGGGTGGGGAGAGATTAACATAAGAATTTATATGCATATGCATAACCAATGGACATAGATAATAGTGGGGTGACGGCTTGGAGGAGCAGTACATGGTATAGGGGATCAATGGGGGAAAAGGGGGACATTTGTAATAATTTCAACAATAAAGAGAAATTTTTTTAAAAAGGGGGGATGGGAAATGGCACTATTTCAAACCCTGGAACTATAAAAACTTGTTCTTAAGAGAAAATTATCATTTTGATTTCTTTAATCTCTTTCTCTCTTTTTTAAACTAAAAGTTCAAATAGAACACCTTGTTTTCACTAGCAAACATATGACTTTCTAACATTTCCTATGCAAAAGTATTTCACACTTTTTGTTTAATTCCTGGACACTGGCCGTCATTAATTTGGTAGCTCAATTTGAAAACTCTACATGAGTAGTTGCACGGACATAAAAACAATCAAATAATTATTTTAGTATGGTATATAAATTCATGGACTCACCTGATAAGAGCTTTTTCTCCAAAGTATTCTTTTCTCTGTAGTGTTTTTATCAGTTGTGGCTGATCGGTGGCCCTCTGGGTGACTTTTACCTAAATAATGTCAAATGATTAAAAAGAGAGAGAACAAAAGGAGAATCTGATCACACATCTATTCAACCAGAATCTCCAGCTCTACATTAACTTGACTGTACAAGGAATAATTTTGTATAGTTAGGACAACCTGGATGGACTAAGAAATCTCGTGCTTTAACATGCCTCCACCCTCTGTAACAGGAAGAGTGTCCATTCAAACCCCATCTCCCGAAGTGAAAAATTTTTATGTGAATCTATTGACTCATTGTAAAGAATATATTTTTTACCAAGATGACAAAAAATAGGTAAAATGTTGATTCATTCATACCTGACAGCTATTGTGTGGGCTGTTGTCATTTTTTTACTTGACAATCTAAGGGAAAAGAGGTCAATGCCCCTGACTAAATAGTCAGGTATTGCATGTTTTAAAAATTCTTGCAGCACACCTGTTGAAAATTGCTGGGTTAGAGGAAGCACTACAATATGGGATCAAAAGACTTGGGTAATATCCAGGCTTCACTATGAAATGAATTAGCCTCACTTGTAAGGATTTCAGAAGACCAAAGTGAAGTACTTCACATAAAAGAGAAAAATCTGTGTGCACCATTTTTTATGTCCTTTATTCTTAGGTGCACAGTGTTCCAGTGGAAAGGGTGGCCTCCAATTCTACAAAGAGACTTCTCCACGCTATTATATGCTCCTGAATAAAAGAGCAGTACTGGCAACAGATACTGCACGTATGTGGCATGGTCACCTTGCAAAGAAGAAACCGCAAAAACGGACAATAATTTCTAAGGACCTGTGGGGGCGGGAGGTAGGTGTATGTTGCTCTCTTCCTTTATCAAAAAGTCTCTGGGAACTTTTGGAATAAGATGAAAATAAGGAAACCAAGGCGTTTGTCAGACCTTTCCACCTGCTCATCATGCCTGCGTTGTTTCCTTCTAGGCTCAGCTCTGGCCTCAGCTGCTGTGGATCTGAAGCCTCGTGCTCCACAAACTGGAACCCATTGCTTTTTCTCTCATCCCCAGAGTGGCTGATTTCCCGTTTTTGTTTGTTTGCTCTTGTTTCGTCATCACCAGGAAATGCGGAGCAACAACTGTGAAAGCATCGCACGGCGCTGGGAGCGGGTCAGGGCACCCACCCAAGTTTACAAGACTCCTGAAGTTCTTGCTAAGGTGCTGTCGTCTAGCGGCCACCCAGAGCCCCACGAAGCGGAGCCGAGCCCCCTTCTCAGAGCAAGTCTCCAGGGAGGCTGGGGCGAGAGGCGTGACAACCCTGAGCAATCCCCCCGGAACGCAGCGCTCTCCTCCCCCCAGCCCAGCTCCTAAAAATCAAGCAGCCTCCCCGCCTCCAGGACCCCGCTAAGGTCGCCCCGCCTGAGCGAACGCGACGCGCGCGCAC